CGTGAGCGCACGCAGGGCGCGCGAGTATTGGGCTTGCGACGCGAGGCGCGTAGCTCGGGCAGTACGCCGGGCGTGTGTGGTCGGGGGGCAGATCGTCGCGGGTGGCGTTCGTGCCATTTCTGACGGGTATGGTGCGCTTCGAGGGCTTCATGCCATAGCGCTGGCCATTGCAGCATTGAGCCAGCACGGCGGATACGGGAGAAAAGAACCTTCAGTTGACCAGATTTGGTGCGCCAGCCGGGTTCCCCTCGGAAAGCGCGACAGAGAACTACAGTCCAAAACATGTGGAGGCGAAAGAATGACTTGTGAGTGTCCACTGGATCTGTGCAGGAAGCAGTACGGTGGACGAGGTTCATGAAAAGAAGGACGACGCGAGGGAGACAGACGCCGGGAATACAGGTGAATATGTCTGATGGCCGGATGGGAGATCTGAGAAGGTCCACAACTGAGGGCAAGTGGAGGTTGGGGTGGAGATTTGGATGCGGTGAACTGGCAGGCGGAGCATTGGGGGCAAGGGGCTGAGTCACAAGGACGTTCATGATGGCCGCGATGTCCAATCGGACCGACGAGGGCGCTGCGCGGCCTGAGACACCCTACGGCGTGTGCTTGGAGATAGGTGCCTTTTCTGTACGGTCTAAGAGAGTCCAAGGCGTGGGTAGATGGGGGGACTGGGGTGGCTTCGTGCATTGGGGACGAGGAGGAGTCTGGTATCGGCGAGCTGGGGGCGTTGGGGGGGCAGGGGGCTTTGGGCGGCCATACGAATGGGTGTAGAGTCAGTTGAATTGAGTACTGAGGAGGGCTCTGTGCGTGAGCGTGAGTTTGTGCAGCAGCTGGGGCTGCATGATGGGCCAAAGGCGACACTGCTGCATCAACAGCATCATTAAATGAGGGTGGGGCAGGCGCCATGTCGGGCGCCGGGTGCGAAGAGGGTCCGTCTGAGGTTGTAGGGTAGGCAGCAGGTGGGGCAGTTAGGTCAGGGGTCCCCACTTGGGTATCAAGGGGGGAGGTGGGGCATGGGTGTGACGTCGGGAGAGGGGGTTGTCTGAGAAGAGGGACGCGAGGTGTGGTCCTTGGGGACTGTTTTGAGGGCAGCATACAGGTTACTGGCGGTAGTTTGGAGAGCACCGGCTAGGGCGTTGCGAAGACGCATGGGTACTGATGTCGCAGTTTTGCGTCGCAACAGTCGATGGGACTCAAGGGTGAGGCGACGGGCCACCCCGGCAGCCGGGGAGGGAGAAAGGTTCTGGGCGGTGTCCAGGAGCAGGGCTGTGAGGATTTGGAGGTCTTGGTACACGAGGCGGGTGTGGGCTAGTTCGCGCTTGAGGGCGTAGGTATCAGAAGCTGCAAGGTAGATGTAAGTCCAACGTCCCACGCCCGGGATGATGACATGCGGCGGAAGGGTGGCTGGAGCGAGTCGTGCGCCTAGGCGGAGAGCTTCTTGGGTTGCTTCAAATGACACAAAGGCACCGTGAGGTGAAGAGGTGGGGGCCATAGCCACGGCTGTGATCGCAGGTGGCGCCTCCGGGGCCCCTGTGTGGAGGTCAAGGCGAACGGGGACACCGACAGTGCGCACCAGGGCACGGGCTGCTGCCAGGTCAGCCGGGCGAAGCATTGCCGGGGACTGCGACAAGGGCTTGGGCAGATGCCAGCGTGAGCACTGGTGCGCGGGTGTTCACAGGCACATGTAGCAGGTCGAAGCTGGGAGATTTAAGCACAAAAAACCTAGGTGCAGAACGATGGAGAGGACGGGGGTCGGAGGCATGGATGCAGGCGTGGGCGACAGCAGCCCAGGACCGCACTTGACCTGGGGCTTCCTTGCGCGGGTGCGGAGGAGGGGGCCACGTAAGAGCGACTCTCAGCAGCGGTACGACGGCAGATTCGAGAGGAGGAACCTGCACGGGATGGAGCGGGGCCGGGGCGGCCACAGAAGCCACGCTCACCGGCAGCGCGCTCGTGCGTCGAAATACTGCTGCTGGGTGCGAGGCTCCCGGCTCCTGGACCGGTAGCGCGGCGCTGACGACTCTGGATGGCGGCGGTGGCAGCAAAGTTTTCGTCTGCGACTTCTTCTTCTTCATCATCTAGCCGGTGCTTAAAGTGACAAGTACTGCCCGGAATCCCCTTCAGGTGCGCTTGGCGCGTTTTGGCTGGGGACCAAACAGGGAATCAATGGCCGCGCTTTATTTTGACCACACATTTCGAGTATCGACCGCCTCGGTCTGGTTTCTCTGGCCCAAGACTTCGCCGCATCCGCCACGACGGCTGGCGCCGCCATTTGCGTGTTTGCCTGGCTGTGACATGCCCGCTTCCACTGAACGAGCTGGTGCCAGGTCGTCCAGTGGAAGCGGGCACGTCAATCGGACGAGCTGCTGACAGCTCGTCGGATGGACTTTCCGCCGGAATCTGTGGCAGTTGCCTCCGCTAACCTCCTTTCTGTTGGTCATTATAGCTGTTTCGTCTTGTGTAGGCGCAGATTATGCCGATGAAACGACATGCATTGTATAGAGAGGTTGGCCAGCAGCTGGCAATACACCACGCGTACGCACCATTCGCGTGATCCGACTAGCACCCACTCTGTGATCTCGAGTGCCTTGGCATCCACCGACAGGGGCTCACCGCCACTGTCTGTCGCGCGCCGCCCGATGCACCTCCTTACGGTACTACGTCTAATGGGGGCTTTAAGAGATCGGCCGGCAACCAAGTTGCGGCCACCGCAGGCCTCTCATTTTTCCCGGCCCACCCTCCCGTCTATGACTTCATGCCTCTCTCTCTTCTAGTGCTTTGAGTTGGAGAGAAACAACACAGGCGCATTGACTTCGGCCAAGTCTATACTTATCAGTTCCATTTTAGTTCAATTCAGTCTCTTAACCTTGATAAAGAAAAGAAAATGTTGTTTCTGGAAAATTCAGAACGGCACAAGACTCATTTTTGCGCATTTAGCCATGTCACGTTTTTTGCGTAAACCCTCTAATCCTTGAGAGAAATTTGGGAATTTTGTACTTTGCGTCAGTGCCCGGTGCGGACACTGTAAAGGAGGGTTGCCCTAATTAGCGGTCACTTGCGAAGAAAATAAAATCAAAAGTAGAATTGATTGGTCATTCACGGACATTTTGGTGTCGTTCGTTCTTGACAGACTGGTGAATCACGATGTTTTGTCCAAGAGCTCGAAATCAAAAACATCTTCGCGCAGTTTACGAAACAAAAAGGGCTTAAAAAAGCCACTTTGTGCCTACAGATCGGTCACCAGGTTAATGTGGCCCAATCAAACCAACGAAAAATATAACAAATTTGTATGCCACGTCATCGAGTGAACGAGTGGAAACCCTGTTGGAGACATGCCCGGCGCCGACGTTTATGTAAAAGAGGGGGGAAGGGCGGTCCGAAGGGGACCTGCAGGCGCGGCGAGTGGGGAAAGACTGGGAGCGGGGCGTACGCGGGCGGAGGGGGACTTGAAGGCGTGGCGCGTGGGGAAAGACTGGGAGCGGGGCGTACGCGGGCGGCGGGGGACTTGCAGGCGCGGCGCATGGGGAAAGAATGGGAGCGGGGCATGTGCAGTGTTGCAGTGCGAAATGGGGCCGCGCCGGGCAGGGCGTAGCAGCGGTGGAGGACCCTGGCGCTGGACTGGAGCGTGTTTTCTTGCTGTTGTCCGCGGGCCTTGGCGGTGCGATATCGGGCAGCTGCACGCCTAACCTGCAAAGGACGCACGCTTTTCCTGTAATCCCGTACAGTTTCACAGCAGAGTGTCGCGCGACGCGTGCACACATACTCTGACAACAGCTCGGATCGTTTTCGCTTCGCTTGTAGCTTGCGTGCTTCCTCCAGTCCTTTCTTTCGCGCAGAAATTTTAGCACTGTTCCGCGCAGCCTGGCGCCTGTTCGCCCCCGCTCTCACTAATGAAAGCACATTACTTGACGTTATGACCTCCCCGAAAGTCGTGTCCACGTACCCGTGTGGTTTAAGGATAGCGGTCTCTCCCAAAACAGCATTTCGTAGCTCTGCTTGCTTGTTCTTAAAAAGCTCTTCCAGTTGCTCACAACCCAGAACCTCATTATTGTCAGCTGGAGATCTGGGTCGTGGCACAGACAGCAGCCGGTGCATGTCCAGAGGCCAAATACCAGACCGCTGAAAGGCGGCCTTAATGTTACCACTAATAAATGTGTCGTCGTACGCCTCAGTGATGATTGAGCAAATGTCAAATACATCGATCTCAATATTGTCTGCCATACCAATGTTTATAAACACATTATTCAGCTTTCTCTTAAACGCACCAAACATCACACAATCAAGAGGCTGTGTTTTGCCTGATGTATGGGCGGGCAAAGCATACACGACCACATTTCTCTCATGAAAGAATTCCAGAACGCGGAGAGATAAATGAGATCGATATCCATCATACACTAGTAGAAGTTTTCGACCGTCCTTTAGGAGGTCCTGACCGACAGAGTTAGCAGTTGTTTTGCGGACTGCACAGCAGATTGCAAGGTGGAGTATGCAATGCCGCTCCACTTGGATGCCTTTCGTATGCTCATAGACCCGGCGGCCACCATGTCAAGGGCTGCCTGTCGCCTGCCCTGCCGCGTTCGAGGCAATCGCGGGAGAGCGGCATGCATCTTGGAGTGAAGGGCTCGGATGAGATCTGAATGGGCGTTGAGGGCGGCCATGAGGGGCTCGGTTGGCAAGATTCGGTCAAAGAGCTAAAGCCCGCCTTTTTGGAGGGATTTGAATGCACTTAATTTGCATTCCTGCCAAGTGGCGGATTGGTTTGTCATGGTATAACGCTCTGGCAGAGCGATTGGAAAGATTTGTTTTTAAATCTATCCACGACTTTCAGAGATAATCAGCAATGAGATAGTCCGAGTACTGAAACTTGGCCCCTTACGTGTACAAGAATCTTATTTTTTGGGAATTTATTGAAACAATTAGGGGTGACTGACGGGTTGGGGCGGGTGACCGATAATTAGGGCAACCCTCCTTTACATATCGTCAGTCAGTCCTCTCTCTCTATGAAAATTAGATCCTTGATCGATTCTGAAAGCGGTCTGCATTACAGTCGGTGGAGTACGTGTCATCGACACGGCGATAGGTCGCGCTTTGCCGGCTCACCACACTCCACTCCACTCTCGCGAGCAGCATCGCCATTGACGGCCCTCTTCGCCGTCAACTTAATTTACAAACCATCCCATCCGCATTCGAATTCCTCCCCGCATCCTTTCGTATCACCTCCCTTCCTCCCCCCCGCCCCACCCCCTCTCCCCGTCCACCGTCCACCCTGTCGGCCACCATGAGTGCTCCCATCCGCCAAATGCCCCTCGTCTGCCCTGGTCACAATCGTGGTATCGTCGAGCTGCAGTACTCGCCGCCAGGCCCGGAGGGCGTCTTCCTCATGTCTGCCTGTCTTGACGGCATCCCAATGCTCCGCGACGGGCTCTCTGGCGATTGGGTCGGCTCATTTGTCGGCCACAAGGGAGCCGTATGGGGCGCCTGCATTTCCACCGACGCGTCGCTCGCCGCCACGGCCGGCGCCGACTTCACCGCGAGGCTGTGGGACGCCGTCAACGGTGAGTGCAAGACCACCCTCACGCAGAAGCACATCTGCAAGTCCGTCGCCTTCTCCGCCGATTCCTCCCGCCTGCTCACCGCGGGTAACACCAACTCCATCAACATCTATGATGTCAACGCATGCGAGGACACCCCCGTCGCCTTTCTCGCCCCGGCGGATCCCAAGGCGAAGACTACCGTCAAGCTGGCGCGCTACGTCCGCTCAGGCAGTGACATCGTCGTCTCGGCTACCTCTGGGGAGCGCGAAGAGAAGGTCCTCTCCATCTGGGACGTGCGTTCCGGCAAGCGCGAGCGCACCCTCCCGCTGGGCTCTGTCGCCAAGTCGGGTGAGCTGACGCCCGACGGCAAGTTTCTTACCGTCACCGCAGGCGACGCCACCGTTTCTGTCTACGATCTGGAAAAAATGGAGCGCACCATGCAGGTCGCCGTTCCTGTGTCCACGGAGAGCGCTAGCTTGAGGTACCCGCAGATGGATATGATGGTCACAGGGGGGCAGGACCTTACCGTGCGCAAGTTTGACTTGAAGAAGGACGGCACCGCTAGTGAGGTCGAGGCGAATCGCGGCCATCATGGGCCCGTCTGGGTCCTCAGGTTTGCGCCGGACGGTGAGAGCTATGCTAGCGGAAGTGATGATGGCACCATTCGTTTGTGGTAAGTTGTTTTTGTTGTGCCATGGATTTGATGTTCGCGTTTGTCATAATTCTAACCCTGTGACATTTGGTTGCGAGCGCAGGAAAACTACCATTGACCCTTCTCTCGTGGCATAGTGCCCACCGTGTCCGTGGGCGATACTTAGAATTACTCTACCCCGAGTTGCGCAAATGCTCCAGGGCATGGACAAGGCAAACCTGCGACTGCAGTTTGACAAGAGACATGCATACCAAGGTATTTACGTGGATGCTTGACGAGCCTGCCTTTGTCTCTTGTTTTGACAAGAGGCGAAATGCGATTATTGAGATATGCATAGTCCATGCAGTGATGTTTGTCGCGCAAGAGTGGGTCCTTCAACGTATGTTTACAGGGCCAGACACGCAGTCAGCTTTACTCTCACGATGACGCCATCCCTTCGATCATGAGTCGGAATCCCTCGCCAATGTCATCACTTTGCGCTTTGACTGAGGAGGCAAGGCCTGGCATATCCGATTTCATGTCAAACATATTCGAGAGGAACAGGAGTGCGTGAAAGTCAGAAAGTCGTTTGGTATACGGCATACTCGTATCAGAAACAGCTTTCTTCACGTCACTGGGCCCTTGCGGAACGATTTCTCGATTCTCTATCGCAAAGGAGGTGCGGAGCCAGCTCTTGCAACTCTTGATGGGAATATTCAAGATGAAGAACTCGGTATGGACCTTCTTTGTATCGGTCCCTTCTACCAGCACCTCTTCCTTGCATAGCACGCGCCCGCCGTTTGGTTTTTGCTTTTCTTCGCCTTCGAAAATCTCAGCTTCGTACAGTTCGACAGCCAAGTCTGAGATCTGATACGCCTCGAAGTGTGTCTCGCCCGTCTCGGCAGGGCTGACGACGAGCACGACAAAAGCTTTTCTCTCCTCCTTACTCATCGTACTGAGGAGTCGCGAGACAAAGACAACATCCAAAGCCGATAAAATACACTTGCGTGGTCTGTTTGAAAACACGACACCAACTTTCTTGAGCCCCAACATGTCCGCTAACGCATCCGCCCGCGACGTCATGTCGCCCGCCTCCTCACCTTCCACCATTACGTAACGCTGATCGTCCCCCCGTTGTGGCGGCTCGTATATCGCTAACACGCGGGTCTCGCCTGTTTCCTGGTCGACATCACCATAGCAGATGCCGATGCGCTGCTGCGAAAAGTGCGTCTTTGCCAGGTACGATTGAAACTCATTGGCAGCATCCGTATCCACGGCCGCGGCCGTGGCCCACGCCTCCTTTTGCGGCGCGACTTTGCGCTTGAGCGCGTCCAAGGCCTCCATGACCGCGACGCTCATGCCGCGCCCCTTCCATTTGGCCAGCTCCGCCTTGCAGCGCTCGCGCTTATCCTCTTTGGGCATGCAGCGTTCGCACATGCCTCTCGGCCCGTGCAGACAGCGCGGACGCCACTCATCATCTTTCTTGCCGTCCTCGTCCGCGGCTTCCTTCTCCTGCGGTTTGCTGGGCGGCGACGGACTTGCCGCAGGCGCAACCTCCTTCACCTTCCCCTTGACGTACACAAAATCGCCCTGGCGTGCCGTAGAGACGTCGAAGGGCGTGGCGAGCTTGACGTCACCGTGCAGGCTGAAGAGCCCGTCCATGGCGCCCAGCGAATCGATGAGACCGCCTAGGTCCGAGAGCGAGCCGTTGGGCGGCAGCGAGACGCGCTCCGTTCGGCCGGACGGCAATCTCACGCGGAGAATCATGGTCGGAGGAAGGAAGAAGGAGGGAGTGAGGACGGGAGCGCGATGGAGGAGTGGAAAGCATGCGGCCCCCGGGGCCGGTCTTAACATGGAGGACGTCGACAGAGGAAACGTCTAGTAGCCTCTAGATGCTGGAGTCAAGCAGACGTTCAGGGGGAGCGTCCAACGAGGAGCAGAATTTAACGGCAGGACGGACGGAGTTGCCAACTACCACAGCGGTTACCTACTGTAATGTGGCGGCGGAATGGAAAATGATACACCGAATTAAAAAGGGCCATGTGTATTTGAAATGGGACTTGAAAACGTCGAGCAAATCGCAGTTCCCAAAGCGCTGCGTGTTTGATGAAAAACTGTTTACAAACTCGTCTACATCGGCGGAACACAAAACGACCCCTTCTCCGTGACGAAATCCGCACGATTGCATGATGGGATTTTCATCCGAGAACAGAAAAGGAAATCCGACAAAGAAAACTGCCTAGTTCTTGGCCGACGACAGCATCTTTCCGAGCTTTTCGACAGCAAAAACATACCCAGGGTCCTTTGCAATGCCGCCAACGCGCGCCTGCGTGCCATCCGAAGGACGCGACACAAACGGAGCTGCCACACAGGAAGAGACAAGAACATACAGACTTCGTTAGTACATCCATCGCCACAATCAGACACAAGACACACACAACAGAAAACAGAAATAACATACCATAATACCCAAACGAAGGCCTCATACTCCCCGCCATCTTGGGATACTTGTTATACAGCCCATCCTCATAGACGCAAATATGAGTCCTCGCCGTCGCCCTCTTCCTCGCGGCATAGGCTGCGCCCGCCTTCGCCGCCTTACTATATTGCCTGCTTCGAAACTCGGCGGCCTTCCCCCTGACCTGGCTCAAGTACGCCTCGTACTTGGCCTGTCCATCGGTACACGCAGTCGAGAAGACGCCACCGGGGTTAACGGCCTTCATGTACACATTCTCCACGCTGCGGACCATCACGTCCTCGTCCTTCCCTGCGGCCCTGATATACCTGCTGCACGCGCGAGTGCTCTCGGCCTGGCCGACGATCATCGCGGTGGCCATCATGGGGTTGTTGAGGACGCGGGCCTCCTCGTGCGAGCATCCGTGGCACGCGATGAGGGCCTCCCTGCGCGTCTCGTACATGTTGTGCACCTTGACGGCGGTGGGGAGCTGGCGGTAGCGCAGCTGCGCCTGGCGCTTGAGCGTGCGGGATTCGTACGGCGCGTCGAACGTGTTGCCCTCGATGCACTGCAGCGGCGGCTCGCCTGTCGGGCACGCCTTGGCGATGTACTGCCGCGTCACGTCGCGCGCGAAGAACTCGTCCACGGTGGGCGAGTAGCGGTACGTCGACATGCGCGGCGTGGCATGGTGCGCGCGGCGCGGCGACGTCGTGCGCCGGGGCGAAGGGTGGAAATTCGAGACGGAGAGCGCGGTCGGGGTTGTGAAGGCGAACATGATGCGGTGAGGTGGAGGTTGGCGCTGGCCGGGGGATGGGAGTGGGAGGAGGGAGCGTGGGAGGAGGGTGGGTGAGGCGAGGTGAGAGTGGGAGGGGATGGATGTTGGGGATGTCATCTCCAGGAGATATCTCGCGGGGGTGGATGTGATTTTTGAGGAAAATTTGTGAGGTAGGGTTTGCATCGCCTCCGACATGTGCTTCGCACGTGGCCAATCAACGGCCTCGGCTGTGAGCCTCTCCAGCAGCGGATCAAGTCACTGACCGAGATAGGCCATCGCTTCTCAGGGTCCAACCTCCACCTCCTCCTCTACCTCAACCTCCGCCTCCACCTCCACTACGGCCACCATGTCCCTCCAAAGAGCCGTCGAACTTCTCTCCACGGGCATCCCGAGCTCGCCGCCGAGCCCGGAAACCTCACTGGTGCTTCTCATCGCCAACGTGTTCGCGCCGGGCACGGGGACGCTCGCCGCGGCCTTCATCACGCACCGGCGCTTGCGCTCCGCCACCACGTACGTGGGCGTGGCGCAGCTGTGCACCATCGGCCTTCTGGGCCTCGGCTGGTTTTGGGCCATCGCGTGGGGTGTGCTGCTCTGGAGGAAGGCAAGGAAAAGCTCGTTGGCAAACATCGGGTGGAGAATCAAGAGGGAGCGCCGATGGGTGTGGGTCCGGAGATGGGTCCCCGTGGGAGGTCCCGCCCGAAGGGCTAGCGTTTCCCCGAGAGTCGCAAAGGTCGCTTTGCAGTGAGGCGATGAGTGCGGCAAATACAAACAACTTCTTCGTCACCCCCCGGCATGGCATGCAGGACATGTTTTGGAAGCTTCAGCGTCTGTCTTCTTGTCTGCTTGTCTAGTGCAGGTGTATTGAGACTGGCGCTTCCATTCCACTCTCGCGTTGAGAGTCGTCTTCTCACTCCTGTTTAAGACGCTAATCCACAGCCACATTGTGCATGCGTGCTGACGCTCGGCAAGCAATGAGCAAAGCCAGCATGTGTGCTACTTATGTCCAGAGAAGGCCGCGAGAGCACTTCAACCTCTTTGTTTTAATTTATCCAACATACTTTTACGAGCCCAGCGCAAAAGCGTCCACCTCCTTCCCACCGTTCCCGTCTCTTCCCTTGCGCCCGCCCGCGCTCATCCCACCCAACTAGATTCGCAGCTCCTCATCAAAATACATCCACTTGTCCCCGAGATGCGCCGTCGGTTTCTCCCTGCACATCTCCGGCAGCATCTCATAGATCTTCTCTGCTCTCGTCTTCTTCTTCAAAACCTTTAGCTTTTCCACCCCCTTCCAACACTTCCTCCTCTCCTTCAAGCACTGCCTCAGCTTCCCGCGCACCACTGCCGTGGTAAGCCCGTGCTGTTTCGCCCCGCGCTTCTTCATCTCCACCAGCATTGAGTACGGGGCCGCCCTCCAGCCCATCGCCTGCCCCGCCTCCTCAAACAGCTGTTGCAGCGCGCCGCTCCACACAAACCGCGGCCTGCAGCGCCGCTCCTGCAGCAAGGCCTCTCTTCTGCGCCGCGCCGCCATCACGCGAAGCTGCTCCGTCTGCCCGCCCGTCGCCGCCGCGCGCTCGGCCGCGCGACGCCGAATGTAGGCGAGCTGCACGCGCCGGTGCAGCTCGGGGAATTGCGTGGGGAGGCTGGCCGCTGATGGCTCGGGGATGGCGTGCGAGGGAGAAGTGGACACTATTTGGCGGTGCATCCAGCGGATGCTGTCGCAGAGACAGGCCGCGATGTGGTACTCAAAGTCGGGCGGGGGAAGCAGGTCTTGGGGGGATGGTTCAAGTAGGGAGGACTGACACATGTCGAAGGTGTGATTTAGGCAGCGGGGGATGTTCGTCTCGTCGGTGGAATGAGGAAATTCTCACCCCGCTCCGAAGCCTCAATGGGTAGGAGTTTGGTGGGGATGCAATGCTTGATGAGTCTGTAAGTCAGTGATTTGTTATTGAGCGTTAGTTATATACGCACGCAGACTACGCGAAAGTTAGAAACATGAACTAGTTGCAATTCAAGGGTTTCCGGATGAGGCGGGCCGCCCTGAGTTTCCAACGAAACAGGTGTCTGCGATATTCGTTTCCTATACACGTTTGTTCGTTGACGACGATTTGTCGGCAATCAGCTCAAAGGCAACGTCAAAATATTCTTCCAACGAATCTTAGCGAAGATTGCAGCAACGACTGGAGTCAGCAAAACAAACAGAACCTCGCCCCTTTCCTCCCAGTCCATGGCGAACGGTGCTTGCAAACCTGTTAGCTATATCCTAAGCCGCATTGTTCCGTTCGTATTGGTCCGAATTCTTTTGGACCACCTTTGCAATCCGTTCAACTGTCCGCCTAGCATCTCATGTGAGCAAGCCGTCGCGGTCATTCTGCTCAAACGACGAGAACTTCCCCCGATGTCTGACCGGGTTGGGCTCCATGACCAACGTCTTTCTCCTCTGGCTCCTACAAATGCGACCAGCAAGCCAATCCACGGGCGCTTCATCAAAATTGGCCACAAAGTACTTGACCATTGCGGACACGCGATCCATCTTCCACACCCTCGCCACCATATTGCTCGCATCCAGCGAATGCGCGTCGACGCCTGTCTTCGTCCCTGGCAGATCGAACAGCGACGCGCTGCACACCCGGCGCATGCGCCGCCGGCCAGTCTCCTCATCGGTTACAATCTCGTCGACCATGTTGGCATCGCACCAACTGACCACCTCGTCGAAGCGCTCCGTGAACAGCACGTCATCCTGGACGATAATTACGTAGGCCACCTGCGCTAGCCCTGCGCATCGACGAAGCACTTCGGCGTAATCCAGGGCCTCCTTCGAGCGCCACTTAACGCGCTCCTCCGAATCGCCGTGCAGCAGCTTGCGCGGGGCAGTGAGGTCCTCGCTCTCTCTGGTCAGCAATGTCAACCAAGACGGCAACTCCTTCCCTCCGATCGCCGTCCCGAAGACGGCATTGAGCCACGTGGGCAGCTTTCCAGCCCCCACAGGCACGTTCATGTCAAACACAACGAGCCTCCTCACGGTTGTGCTGTTCCTTGTGGCCAAGCGCCAGCTCTTCACAGCATTAGACACGTATTCGACCTTTCCGGCCCTTCTCGCCACAGTCGGCATGCACACGATGGCGCGCTGCGCAAACACGGTCGGGATGGCATCTTCGACTGGGAGCACGCCGGCGGAGATGGCGGCCTCTTCTGCCGGAGAGACGGCGCTGGGGTGAAGCAGAGGGCGGGAGGGCCGGGATATGAGAAAGTAAGGCACAGCGATGGAGAAGAGGAAGACGAAAATAAAGACGAGAACAACGCTTGAGGGGCGCAGGATGCAAGGAGTTAACGCGGGATCGCGAGACGGGCTCGCGGGCGCTGACGATGGCTTGGTCTGCGCACTCTGGGAACGACGGCGTAACTCGGTCATGTCCGGTTGGCGGGGGATGTAGGCGGGTGAAGAGCTACATCCGGGTGAGGGCGAGGGAGGTGCCTCGCCCGTTGCGGGGCGATGGGGCTTGTCGAGTGCGCGAGCGGTGTCTCGAGAAGCAAATGCTTCTGTACCCTTGGTACAGTACTCTTGGGTACTGTACTTGAGTAGTGGTGCCCAAGGGTGCAGTATGAGAACAAAACGCTGGTACAGTATTAGGCCGAAAGGTTCAGAAATGAAAAATCGAATCAAAGCATTTACTGGGCGACTTAACGTTACAAGGTAAGCTAATGCTACCTTCGAAGGTAGCTTCGAAGGTAGCATTTGTGTCTACATCATAGAGCCAGAGCGATAGAGAGAAGCGGTTAGATGAGTTGGCGTGTTCTCCTTCTAATACGTAATACCGTTTCCGCCAGATACTTTTCGTTGCTGCGGGCCTTCTTCTAAACCAAGACTGCGCAATCACGCAACCCTTCGTTCCGAAAAGAGCAGGGAATAAACAGCAACCCCAACCAGATAAATCGAACACGAAAACAGCGCGATCGCCCCCCAACCAAACCCTTCGATCCTTTCCCAAACCCTATTTCTCTTGCGCACAGTCGCAGGAAGCTCCATTCCGCCATCGACCCCCATCAACGAATTGTCCATCTCCCCTGGTGCCACCGCCACACCTAAACCCTCCAACCGCTCTTGCATCCATCTGTAAAACACGTCCGTCGGTTCCTTCTCGCCGCCGCACTGACGAGGACCATGGACATTGCGCCAGTTCTTCGTCCCACAGGGGCTCACAGGATGTCTCGAAGACAGCCTAGGCTTCCCGTCAACTAAGAAGTAGAATTGCCGGTGCCCGGTTGGCAGAATCGCGATGCAAGACCACAGGTTTTCTTCCTCCATCTTCATGGATGTGCCTTCCCAATCGTCCCAGTCCCCGAGTAAGGTCACGCTGCTTTGCACTCCAGGATCGGCAAAAACAAACTCAGCCTTGACTAAAAGTGTTTTGCCAAGCGGGCGAGCTGAGTGGCTTCGAGATAGACTTAGGCCAGGGAAGCCAACTGCTTTGATTTGAGGAGGATGTGCAGCGGGGGGAGATGGGCCGGCTCCCTTCTTTCTCGACAAGTGCACCACATACGGTGACCGTCTTTTCGGCGTTGTGATCTCTGCGAGAGCGGTTGTGGAATGATCATTTTTCGTGCACCCTAGGCTTCTTTCTTGCAACTTACTCATAGTGCGGCGTTTGATTAACGAGCGATTAGTCAAATGAGAAGCTTTGGTTCTGAATCTTGGCAAATCGGGTAGGTCTTTGATAGGGGCGAGGATGAGGCGAGCAAAACCGTATGCTATATCTTGTTCGGATTGGCAGATGAGCAGAAGCTCAGGTCGTGAATTGTGACAGAAACCTGGAAAGTAGCACTGAATCCCAATGTATCGTTTTTTGTACGTGGAAGCGATGTAGAGCGTGATCACAACTCTAGGAACCCATATATATGTACTTTTGTTAGCAGCGAAACTTATCAGCAGGCCTCCCTCGTTTTAGAGCAACAGGTTTTTTGTCAGTTGCAGGGGCGCTTAAGAAAGCCATTATGTGCATTGGTTGGTTGATTAATATCTATAGAGGAAAATGGACATGCTCTGCTATTTCCTGCCCGTTGTGCTTTCAGTGAACATTTTTAAGCTCACAACGGCGGAGACCAGAGGCGATGTAGTTAGCATATTATTTCTTCCCCGTCGTTTTTTGACAACTCCATTTTGATATTGCCGACAGTCTAGCTAGTAGAGTACAGTACATTGAAGTATTGTAGCAACTCTGAGGCTGAAACGCGCCGTTTTTGGTTTAGAACCGGCTTTGAGCCGATCTTTGCATGCTTTCAGACTGCCCCAATGAGGATACATAGGCGCAGCCATCAGGTGTTGACACCTGCCTGACATCAGGCAAAGCTTAGCGTTTACAACATCTCATGAGAATTGATTTAGTTTTAGAAGCAACAAGTCAGACACTGACTACAGTACTGCCCTTTTACTGTACTGTGCGCACTGACTGCTGGGCAAGTGGTCAGCTGGTTTACCTCCTGCAAGTTCGAGATTTTTTTTTGTGAAGCATTATATTGCCTGCGCGGGAATTGTATGGGGTGAATGTTCTCCACTTGCCTTCAACATTACCATAAGTTGAGTCGCACGCGAGGACAGGAAAAAAGAAAGAGAACGATTCTGAAACATGTTTGGTTATTCGGAGGGTACTTTTTTTTGAAGAATATCAGTGGGAAACGGACGAGTAAAGTATTGCCGGACTGTTGACAGAATGTTTTGGTCCACCGGTGCGGGTTCTGCTGAACGTTTTTGAGTCGGGGATCGGCATTGCGAACAACAGCAAGAAAAAGTTGGGCACGGCGTGGACTATTGTATGTGGCATCAACGATAAAGGAAGTACTGTGTAGTATTAGTTTAGTTGTTCACTGTGGACAAGTTAGGCAAAAATCATACCTCGCCGTTTGTGTTCAGTCGTCAACGACGAGGACTGTCTAAACTACCTATGCTAAGTACGCTGGACAAAGCATGGCTGCGGGGCGTGTTTGTGGGGAAGGCACTAACACTTGGCACTAGTTGCCTAGGTCGATTGTTGCGTCGCTTCAGGTACATTCGATGCTGCCCAGAACAAGCCTTCCTCCTTAAAACAAAAGAAAAGGCTATTAGGACAACGCCTGTAAAAAGAAAACATAGACCACGATTTCGTGATTGCAACGGCAAATGTCGGACGCGAGTACTTGAAAATAACGAGTTCAAAGAGTTCTGATAATCGTGAGGGGGCCCCGTTCGGCTGTTCGGCATCTCAATCCCGTACTGTCTGAAAGAGCGAAAGTAATTTAGATCAGAACCAAGCGGCTCGGCTTTCTTCTGCTGTGGAAATTTCACTCGACTGAGAGAACCAGAACTAAGAACAGCCCATGTTTTGAGCTCGTCTCGCATATTGCAAAGCCTCTGTTCACCGTTCGGTTCAGTCTCAGTGAGGCCATGCCTTCCGAACCAACGATGCGGCTGTAGCAACGCATAAGAGCCGATTGCCAGAGGCGCCGCCTTTTGCCGGAGAAAATTAGAATTTGGGACCAAAGCTTGACTCAAAATTCGAGACTCGTGAAGCATCTTTTCGCAGTTTGCTACTCCCGCGCAATTAGAGATTGTGTGTCTTACTGCTTCGACGAAGAAACGATAACACTTGGCCCCTCTGTATGCAGTATCAATGCAGTTTGTATCTCCGAAAGATAACACAGCCCCCGCTTCACATTTCACCAGGCCAAGCATCGGCATTGCTGGTAGGCGATTGCCAGGGAGCACTGAATCGTGCTGACGTGTCTTATACTCATGAAGTGCAAGGTCTGAGACGTAAAGGAGTTCTCCGCCCTCGGGGAAATTCACGATAGGAACGCCGCTTTCAACTCGAAAAGCTTGACCCTGCAATCTCACATTACCGCTTACGACGGCATCCCCGAACGCAATACTGAACGGACTCAGTAAATCATTCAAGGCAGGTACATTTCCGCCTGCCACGATAGGGCTCCACAAGGACCGCGTGTTATCATCTTCAAAACGAATTTCTCGCATTATGTCCGCGTTGTGCCATTCAGCGGCTACAATTAGCGCTAGTCCATGTTGTGTTACTAGATCACGGAGAGACCTTCTCTCAAGAGCAGAAAATTCGTCCTCAGAGTCTAACAGGAGGAGTCCCCCGTACCTTTTCAAATCCGCATTAGAGAGACATGTAACTGGTGTTTCCAGAATGTCGATGTAAAATCCTTCATCTCGAAATGCTTGAAACAATCTCTGGAAGTTAGTATGGGGGTGATCCCCGAGCCAATCCAGCATATCTTTGGCTTCCGCCAGATTGTCCCTCGGTACATATCCTGGTGGATACCGGATGGAGTGAAACATGTCCCATAAGAGGCGCTTCTCTCGTTGAGGGGGTGGAATTATGGAGGCTTTGATTGGTAACTCAATGTCTGAGTGCGTTTGTTTGTGCACGCTGACAACTCGGACTCGCAGTACTCCGTAGGCCGTTATTGGCATTGTAAGCCTATGACGTAAGTCATTCACAGAAAGGTGAAGACCCAACCCTGCTGCCCAGGGCCAAAATCGTTTTGGGGCTGTTACCTCAACATTCAAGAATTCTCCGTGCTGCCCTCCGACCCAGGTTATGTTTGTAATTCTTCCGCTAACCCCAGCTGGATTCAGCACAGTGGCGTTGAGATTCATCGGCATTCCTCCCGCAAAAAGCGGTTGCGCGCAGTGGGGCCACATTTGCGGGCACCCAGCTGGTGTGAGGTCATAGAAGGAGGGAAAGAAAGCAGCGGTGGGTCCTGGGATAGAGCTCGCATTCTCTCCATCATCTTCGTCATAGAAACCCAAGCTGGGGTCTCTGCTGGCAAGGCTCCTTTCAATGTTGAGGCCTTTGCCCTGCAGCTGCTCTGTCTTCATTGCGGCCAATACTTCGGCGTCAATCTGCTGTATGATATCGTATGCATCTCCAATATCAAGCAATCCAGCGCCCTGTTCATAAATGGAAGCCATGCGCAGTTTGCGCGCGCTCTGAATCAGGGCTCTCTTAATACTCGCTGGATTAACAACCCTTCGCCGGCGATCCTTCGGCACTGTCGAAGCCAATAGGGCGATTGCTCCTGCCACAACAGGGCTCGCCACAGACGTGCCGCTCAATTTACGACAGCTCAGCAGGTTCTTGTGACTGGGACCGACGAGCGACCTGGCGTATGCAACAAGGTCGGGCTTGACTCTCCCGTACGATGCATGTATTCCATCCAGCTCGTGGGTGGTCATGCCACGGGAGCTGAACTTGGCAATGCTCCCATCTGGCTCGGCTCCTCCTACGCCGACGACGTCCATCATATCTCCGGGGTTGTTCAAACTTCCCCACAGCGGCCCATCATTCCCAATGGCGCTCACGACAATGACGCCGTGCGCGGTGAGCTCGTTGACCTTGTCTGTGAACGGACTATCCGCGAAGTCCGGCCCTCCGATGCTGAGATTGAGGACGTCAATGCCGACATGTAGAGCATAGTTGAAGGCATCCAAAAACCAGGACGTGTAGCTGACTTGGGCACCGGTAAAGACGCGAAAAGCGTACAGCGAAGCGTGCGGTGCAATCCCAGGGCACGCCGGGTGGCTACCCGCAATGAGGCCTGCGACGAAAGTGCCGTGGCCCACGACGTCGACGGTGGAGTTTTCCTCTGTCCAATTTGTGCGCTCAACGACGTGGGCAAAGTTTGTATGATCCGAGATGAGCCCGGTGTCAAAGACGGCGACTTTGACGCCCTCGCCCGTAAAGCCGAGACGCCAGAGTTGACCTGCGCCGAAGGCGTGGATGCCAGGTATGTCGCGATGGTGGGCGCGTCTGGAGACCGGGTCGACGATGTCGGGCTCCTCGAAGTCGGAGGTCTGGTTGCGCAGGAAGGCGCGGAGCCGGCGGCCGTGCTCCCCCTCTGAAGTAACGGAGCGGATGAAGGGCGCGGAGCGAAGCTCTCGGAGGACAGAAGGGTCGGGGGATTCGAAAAGGGCAAAGTCGGTGGGGAGGGTGCGGGCGGCGAGGTTGGTGCGCGGGAGGATGTGCCAGGTAGATTGGGGAAGTAGGGAGAGGGCCGAGGTGATGAGGGACTCTTGGATGTAAAAAGGGTGGTAAGTGTTAAAGGTAGCGATGTAATGGAGTTCGTGGAATGCTTCGGAACAGACAAGCAGCGTTGTAAGAAGCAAGAGGTTTCTGCACCACGAGAGCATTGTCGTTAAGAGAGCGAGGCCTGCATGGGTATGTAGAATGACCTTGCCTCGTTACCGTGAATGAAGAAGCGGGAGGCAGGCAGCAGGCACGAAAAAGTTGCCCACCATCGGTTGCCACGGCTTTGATGAAGACGGCTCGGCTGTCTTCTCTCTGGGCACTTGCCTGTCTTGGTCTTTGTCTTCGCTTTGACCCATTTGTAAGGGGTTTTAATTATGACCTGCTATTGGCTCGAAAAGCAGGGTTCAAATTAGATCCTTTTCGACTACCGGACTGTTTTAACGTCGTCGTCTAAGTACTCCTCTGCCCCGATCTGCAATACCCCGACGCTGCTGAGAACTAGCGAAGAGGCCATTCCTCTCGCGCATGTCGTCTTCATCCTGGGACACGGAAGTTTCTCGCTCGCCCACGAGCATGCGCACGTGGGCAAGCGACTGAAGTCGGGATGCCCATGACGGCAGCCACATCTGGTCCAAACAACAAATCGACGATCGTCCTCGTCAATCAGGTATGTTGATCTTCCCCGCTTCCCCTATACGTCCAAGCCGAAACCTGCTCCCACCAAGGATGCGATCAATATATGTACCCTGAAAAACGATGTGGGCTACAACAACTCTAATTTTTTGCTGATGGCCTTCGGGAGACGCTTGTGATACGAGTGCGCAAGAATCCAGTTTTCACGATGCTAACTCCTGTTTCCGATGGATACTTCTCAGCGGGTTTGCGTCACACATGCGAGTCAACTTTAGAGGATGAATATTTTGGACGATGAGTCTTTTGTCATTGAAAATGTGAGTTATAGGAAATCGAAAGTCATCCTGTATTTGTACGAGTGATTTTTCTTTATAACAGTCGTTTGAATTTCACATGAAACCAATAATACCAAACAAATGACGTACAAACGTAAAAGCAGAGAGCATCCTCTGCGCCCTCCGCGCCGCGAGCCAATCATGTTTTATATAGCGAATCGGCTGACCAAAACGTTGTGTATGACGGTATGTATTCTCTTTGTTAATCTCGTGCGGTTGTGGTTCTATGTTTTCAGAGGGGCCCATTACGGTCTCTTGATCGCGGGATGTCTCGCACAAGCTATCAAATGGCGAAAATATCCTCAGTCTTGAGCCCGCTTCAGAAACACGAAAGATGAAGTCGTGTGCTTGGGTTTGTTTGAGAAAGTGGGGTGTTGGGCTTCCCGGCGCGGGCCCCCCTCGCTCACACTAGCTGAAACCGCTCGACCATTTTGTGTCAGATGTAGGCCCAGGGCAGGCGATATTTGGGAGTTGATAGAACACATCTCGCGTCCTTCATGGTTTTCGGAGACTGAAGATTACCAATTTCGGGCAAAATAGAAGGTTTGTAGTTGTTTTTATTATTATCTCGCATGTCATTAACACTAAACGTCAAGGTAACGGATGCTATTCGTAATCGCGTATTGTATTGCTACAGTACTGCCGTAGAGACCCACACCCCCGACCAATTTCACTACAACACTCATCAGCAGGTAACAAAGCACAAGTCGTATCACTTGTCTGTGGACCTCTTTCTTGCCATTAAGTCTATTCGCGGAAGGTCTTCGTCCGAATTACGTGACGGCCTGGTCGAATGAGTAGACATCGCTGGCGACTGCTCTGCTTGTAACATATCCGTGGGTCGACCATGGAAGTATTCGTCTACATTCCCCGTGATCGAACCATCCTTGTTCAGTTCCGCCGACAGCACACTCAGTTTGGAGACCATCAAGCTGAGTTGTTCCCGCCACTCTGCCGGATTGATCTCTGGTTCATGCATTTCACCTGTGGCAATCAACTTTGCTTCCTGCAAGGCGCTTCGCAAGTCTAGGAAGGCATGCCGGACTCTGCTCCGCATGGACACTTGCGATTTGGCAAAACAGCTAGGATTTTCATTTTCATTGGCCATTCTTCCGATGCCTCCTCCATTGTGTCCGTTTCGGTCCTTAAAGTACATGCACTCGCCCCCGTTTAGATGGTGCGCATCTCTTGGGAGTGAAGCAAGATTCCTGAGATGAGCAGCCGTGTTCGGGCCAGTCTCATCGACAAGCGCACTGAGCATGGACGGCCGGCTTAGAAGATCACTAGGCTTGCCCATCTCACCGATTTTCCCTTCGTCCATCACAATGATGCGGTCACTTTGCATGACTGTGTGCAATCTGTGTGCGACTGTGAGTACGGTGCAATGACCCATCTCGTCTCTTAGTGTTTTCTGAATGCGTTGGTCCGTAGCGTTGGAAACGCTAGATGTTGCCTCGTCGAGGACCAGCACTTGGCTATCGCGAAGGAGTGCTCGCCCAAGACACAACAGCTGGCGTTGCCCCACGCTGAGATTGGATCCACCTTCGCTCACGACGTAGTCCAGGTCCACCTTTTCAGTCATGGTGTCCTGAAGACCGCACGACTCCAGCGCATTGCTGACACTAGTATCATCGTGTTCCCCAAACATGTCGAGGTTTGATCTGATGGTACCCGAGAAGCAAAACGGTTCTTGTGGAATAATTCCAAGGGAAGAACGCAGGTCAAAGAGTTTCAATTTGGAAATGTCGACATCATCAATAACGATGCGCCCCTTTTCCAACTCATACAACCGGAACAGGCATTGGATGGCAGAGCTCTTTCCAGCACCGGTGCGCCCGACAATCCCGACGTGTTCACCAGGGAATATCGAAAATGACACAGACTTGAGAGCAGGAGGCAGGTCCTTGCGATAACGCATAGTTACGTTTTCAAACAGAATACAGCCCTTCTTCGGCCATCGAGACCTCCTGCGCTGTACGCCTTGTCCCAATTGCTTGAGCTTTTCGTCGGAAATGAGTCCCTTCGAACCACTCAGCAGCGACGAAGATTCTTCTTCAATCGCACACTCTTTCAAAAATCCTTCGAGACCTCCGGCTTCTTCTTGCAGAAACGGTGGTTCTGAATACTCGGCCACGCGTTCGATGGCACTCAGCTGCGACTCTGCTTCGGTGAACTGCCTAACGCTCCAGTTCATGGCACCAAGAATTTGCATTACATAAGACAACACAAGCCCCGACATACTGGCCGACAGTTGTCCGGGGGGAGCAAAGATGGCGAGAAGAGATGCTCCAAAGATCAAGATTGTGCCGAGCGCCTCGAGTCGAACGGCTATCCACCTATTTGCGCATGACGAGGCATATGACGTCTTGTTCAGCACGTCAGTGTAGGTATCGTTGACAAAAGTGGCGCGCGGCACGTCACGGTAAGCACGGATGGTTACAACGCCATCAAGTGTTTCCCCGAAATGGGAGTAGAGCGGGCTTCGAGCGACGGCCTCCAGGCGACGCAAATCAACACTAGACTTGCGGTAAAACTCCTGCACATACAAGCAAACAGCTCCCACGGGGATGACGACAAAGACAAATGCGGGGGTTGCCCATAAGATGAGACCGATGGTGAACGACAAGTTGAGCAGCAGCCTGAGCAACGACTGCAGTGTGGAGCCCAAGGTTGAGTCAACCTTGTCCATGTCTGAGTTGAACCTGTTAACAAGGCGCCCTTCCGGGGTGGCGTTGAAGAAGGAACTGGGTGCACCGAAAACGGACAAGAGCAGCTTCTCGTGAAGCAGAACAGAAGCTCGAATCACTCCAAACGCGAGCGAAAAAGCCGACCCGGAAGAGACGACGACTGAGAAAAATCCGAGAGAGCAAAACACAACGAGATTGAGGAGGGTGTTTGTTTCTGCGCCCGCGTTTACGCCGGTGCTCGAATCGCTCCAAATGCTGAGCCAGACGTTGACGGCCAAACTCGTCATCTGGGCTCCAAGCGCAAACACAAAGATGGGCAGCACCCATTGGATGACACCCATCGCCCTGAAGTAAGTCAAGTAGTGTCTGAACTGAACCCTGCCTTTGCTCTTGGTCTCCTTTTTAATGAGTTTGCCGCTCTCAATCGTGCCGTAGTTTTCGGTCTTGTCGTCGGAAGCAAGCAGGGAGCTAGAGGCGTCTTTACCCTTTGCCTGGGTTGATGCTCCAGTTTCTGTCCCTGTTCCTTCTCCACCCACCACCACGTCGTCGTAGTCGTGGTGGTGGTGGTGGTCATCATCGCCGCCGGGTACAGGCGCGGAAGGGTGACGCTGGATTTCGTCGTCACCGTCACCATCACCATCATCATTGCCATTAACGGGCTGTGCGGTCTCGACGGCTTCGACGTGGTCCTCGGGGACTTCGCCCGCGCCCATCTCGCCGGCGGCCTCGACGAGCTGCGAGAATTCGGAGGTGTGATCGGCGAGCAGGGCGGCCCTGGTGCCAGACTCTGCGACGGTGCCGTTCTTGACGACAATGATCATGTCGACATGCGGGGAGGCGGCAAAGTGGATCTGGTTGGTGGTGAGCAGGCGAGTCTTGCCGTGGAGATTGGCGACGATGCAGTCGTTGAAGATGGACTTGCCGACGTGGGCGTCGACGGCGCACAGTGGGTCGTCGAGCAGGCAGATGTCGGCCTGGGCGTAGACGGCGCGGGCGAGGGAGACGCGGGCGCGCTGGCCGCCGGAGAGGTTGATGCCGCGGCCGCCGATCTCGGTGTTGTCGCCGGCGGGGAGGATGCGGAAGTCGGAGAGGAGGCAGCAGACGCGGACGGTCTCGCGGTAATACTCCTCGTGGTAGGGCTTGCCGAAGAGGATGTTATCGCGTAGGGTGGCGTTCTGGATAAACGGGACCTGGTCGCAGTAGCTGACGGTGCGGTTCTGACGGATGCCAGCGCGGCCGGAGACGATGGGCAGCTCGCCGAGCAGGCCGGCCAAGAGGGTGCTCTTGCCGGAGCCTGTGGGCCCGACGATGGCGACGAGGGCGCCCTGCGGGACGCGGAAAGAGATGGAGGTGAGGGTGGAGGCGGAGAGGGAGGTGGAAGGGTCCCAAGTGAAGGAGGCGTTCTCAGCGGCCAGGTCGACGTTTTCGGCGTCCAAGACGTGCTGGTCGAGGGCGTGGGGGCCGTCGTACATGGGGACGAGCTCTTCAGCGCTGAGAAAGGAAGTGAGACGCGAGAGGGAGGCGCCTGCGCGGGCGGCGCTGATGATGATGCTGGGGAGGAAGAGGAGGGGCGGGCGGATGACGTTGAAGAGGGCGATGGCTGGGAAGACGACGGCGGCGTCGAGGACGCGGCCGGTGAGGACGTAGGTGACAAAGACGGTGACGGTGAGCATAGTGGGGAGACTGAATACAAGGGTGGAGCTCCAGGCCTGGACGATGGCCATGCTGCGCATGAAGTGGAGCTCGCGAGCGCGGGTGGCGAGGATCTTCTTGACAAAGGAGAGCTCCCAGGCGTAGAGCTTGACGACCTTGATGCCCTTGATGGCCTCGGAGACGACCTTGACGCGGTTGTCGGTGCGGGCGCTGGCCTTCTCGCGCAGGGCCTTGATGGTGGCGACGAGGGTGGCCTGCAAAGGCATGGAGGCGAGGATGAAGAGGACGCCGGCGACGGTGGGGATCCAGCCCATGAGGTTGACGAGCAGGAGCATGGCGACGATGATCTGCTCGGTGGCGCTCCAGAGCATGTTGAGGTAGAGGACAAAGTCGGAGACGGTGCGCGAGTCGGTGGCCATGAGGTTCTGGATCTGGCCCGAGGTGTACAGGGCGCGGCTCTCCGGGGAAAGACGGAGGCTCTTTTGGAAGACGGCGCCGATTAGGGCGCCCCGCAGCTGGACTTGGATGGTGGAGACGGTGTTGAAGTACTGGTTGAAGATCATAGACTGGAAGGTGTAGGTGGCAAACAGGGCGAGGGCGAGCAGCAGGCCGTCCATGGGGCGGGCGTCGCCGGCGTCGCGGTCCTGCAAGTGCTTGATAATCTAGGCACGGGGCAATGCAATGTGAGAAGGAAGAGACGAAGAATAGAAGCGGTAAGTCAACGGAAGTCAACGGAAGTCAACGACGCAAGGCAGGCAAAAACAATGCGCAAGCGGAAAGAAGAAGAGGAAGAAGAAGAGGAAGAAGAAGAGGAAGAAGAAGAGGAAGAAGAAGAAGAAGAAGAAGAAGAAGAAAACGTACCAACCTGAGCATGAGCGGGGAGACGAAGAGGCAGATGTCATTGCCGACCTTGAGGAGGGCGCTGAACATGAGCCTGGTACCGAAGGACTGGAAGAGTGCAAGGAACAAGCTGGGTGTAGTACCGGGGATGCCTGCGCCGGTAGGGCCGACCTGTCGTCTCCAGAGCGGCTGAAAGGTACCCTGTCCGGTGCGTTCGCACCGAAACTTATCCGCGAGTGGGATGATGTCAGGGTCCTCGAGCGGGCGCACGCGACCCGCAGCGACGGTGGGGCGCATCCACGAGAAGGAGAGGAGCGTGAGCGCGGAGGCGTTCGCGGGGTTTGGCGGTGCGGGTCTGAGCGGGTCCGCGCGCTCGTTCATATCGGGCAGGAGGGCGGCGCGCGCGCGGGCTCCGAGCGTGGCTGGGGGCGCGAGGCACAGGCACGCGCCGGCGGCGGCGATGTGGTATGAA